ATCCGAGGTTGAAGCTAGAGCTGCTAAGGCGTCGGCTGATGTGTTCTCGCCTCGCGGGATTCTTGTTAGCTCGAACTCGCCGAACTGTTTCGCCAGGTCTTGCGTGAGAGCTAGGTACGCTTCCATTCGCTCGTCTCGAGCCGTGTATTCTCCGTTGAATTGGTTGGCCATGAGCTGGGAGTCGCAGAAGGCTCGTAGCTTGTTGATCTTAAGTCCCCGAGCCAGCTTCAGCCCGGCTATCAGTCCTCCTGGTGATGCTAAGCGAACCCCGACGCCAGAACCTTATTTTGAGGACGAGCCGTCTACATGGAGGATCCAGTCGGCGTCGGGTGAATCTTCTCGGATATTTTCTGTGGGCAGCTCAATGATAAAATCTGCCAAGACTTGGGATTTTGCGCACGTCTTGTTTCGGTACTCAATATCGTATTCGCTGAGTTCTATTGCCCACTTGGCTAGACGTCCTGACTGGCTTGAACTGTGCAAGATAGCTCAGAGTGGTATAGGCGCCATAACGACGATTGAGTGGGACTGGAAATATGGTCGTAGCTTCCGAGCTGACATTACGACGGCGAGGGCGAGTTTCTCAGTTTGTGGATAACGTGTTTCTGCATCGGTGAAGGTTTGTGAGACATAAAAAATCGGCTTTTGTTCTCCCCTGTCTTCTCTGACTATGACCCCACTAACTGTTGTATCCGAGACGGCGATGTATAGGAATAATGGCTCGCCCGGGACAGGTTTCGCTAAGACCGGTGGATTAGTCAGATACTTCTTTAGTTCCTGGAAGGCTTCTTCGCAACGGTCGGTCCATTCGAATTTCTTGTTTCCGCGCAGAGTATCGTAGAAGGCTAGACATTTATCAGTTGATCGGGAGATGAATCGGTTCAGAGCTGCGACTCTTCCGGTGAGATGCTGTACTTCGCGTTTGTTCTGCGGTGAGGGCATGTTGAGCAAGGCGTCGATTTGTTTGGGGTTTGCCTCGATGCCTCGGTGAGTCACCAGATATCCCAGGAATTCACCTGACTTTACCCCGAAACGACATTTTGCCGGGTTTAGCTTCATTTTATGTTGGTTAAGCTGACAGAAACAGTCGCGTAGATGGACTACATGGTCGTTTTCCTCTAGGGATTTGACTAGCATGTCATCGATGTAAACCTCCATTGTTTTCCTGAGCTGCTCAGAGAACATCCTGTTGACGAGCCGTTGGTATGTTGCGCCAGCGTTTTTGAGTCCGAAGGGCATGACTTTGTAACAGTAAATGCCTCGGTCCGTAATAAACGCTGTCTTCTCGCGATCGTCGGGGTGCATGAGGATCTGGTTGTAACCTGCGAAGGCGTCCATGAATGATAGCAGCTTGTTCCCGGCGGTTGCTTCTACTAATTGATCGATGTGTGGGAGCGGAAAGCTATCCTTAGGGCATGCTTTGTTTAGGTCAGTGAAATCGACGCAGACTCTCCATTTCCCGTTCTTATTTTTTACCACGACAGGATTTGCTAGCCAGTCCGGGTATCGTGCTTCGGAGATCGAGCCGATCTTCAAGAGTTTTTCTACCTCGGCGTTTACGGCATCGGCGCGGTCTCGGCCTAATTTCCTTCTCTTCTGCTTGACAGGTTTGAAAGATGGGTCCACATTCAGCTCGTGGCAGATCACATCGATGCTTACTCCGGGTAAGTCCTCAACTGACCAGGCGAAAGTATCGATGTTTTCCTTGAGAAATGAGATGAGCTCAGTTTTGATTTCCTCGGTCAGGTCAGAGCCGATTTCCACGCATTGTTCAGGTCGTTCTTCGTAAAGGCTGATGGAGATTACAGGCTCCGAGGTAGGCTTCTTCTCCTTGCGTGCCTCCTCGATCTGTAATTGCTATAACTGCTTGGATATAGCCTTCTCCTCGCTTCGGCCAAGTTTTGACTTCTTATGGTCTGACTCGGCTTTGGCCTCAGTAACGGGGTTGCGGAGCTTATGCGCTGCCATGTAACACATCCGTGAATTCTTCTGACTGCCCCAGATAGTCTTCACACCATTAGGAGTCGGGAATTTGACACAAAGGTTATACGTCGAAGCGACGGCTCGCATCTGATTTAGCCACGGAGTTCCCATTATGATGTTGTAGATGGTGGGTTGATCGGTAACCGAGAAATTGACTATCTTCGTTACTCCGCCGGCTTTGACTGGTAGCTGGATAGTTCCGAGCGTCATTAGTGTTTCTCCTGAAAAGCCAAGGACTTGCCTCGGGGTCGGAGTTACTTGAGACATATCAATATTCATCTGTCGGAGTGTCTCGCGGAATATTACGTCGATGGTGCTGCCGGTGTCAATCAGTACTCGCGATACATCGTGGTCTCCTAGGGCTAGTGTGACGACGAGAGGATCGTTATGGGGCATGTCGAGTCCGTTCGTCTCGCTTTCCTCGAATGTTACTGTGTCGTTGGGTCGGTCAAACGGTCTTGACCAATTGCTAGATGCTTCTGCTCGTCGCAGATATGCTTTAATTGCGGCTACGGTATCGGGGCAGTACGGTGAACCACCCATTATGGTGAGTACTTTTTGCCGCGTGCCGTCTCGGTCCTCATCTGGATTTTCTCGGGTTCTCTTCGGGACTTCCGTGTTCCTTGGCTCGGGGTCCCCAACGGTGTTAGCCTGCTCGGGTTGAACCGGTTCTGGCTCCAAGTCCTTGAGCGTGACGTTCGTTCCGAGCTCTCTGGCTAGGAACTTGGTTGCTAACTTCGCTCCGAGGCTTCGACAACAGGAAGTATGGTGTCCAAAAATCTTGTGATGTTCGCACTATTCTTGATCGTTACTTAGCGGCTGATCTCTTGTCCAGGTAAACGAATCTCTGCCTCGTCCTCGTCCTCGTCCTCGGCCTTGGCCTCGAGGCGTATCAATCTGATAATTATGTGCTCCCGAGAAATTGCGTCCTTCGCGATATGTATTCGTCCCGCTTTGGTTTGTCTTCTTCGGGACAGGTGGCGCTGTTTTAGTCTTTTCGGCTCGGGAAGCTGGCTTCGTCGGCTCGTGCCTCTTCGCAAGTAACTCCATCTCTTCCTCGTGGGCGACGAAGTCCGAGGCTCGGTGCAGGGCGTCGCGAATCGTGGTTGGTTTGGATAGGTTAAGCTCCTTTCTGAATTCTGACTTGTACCAGAGTGCTTTCTTCAGGGTTGAAAGAGCGGCTACATCAGTGATTCCTTCGACTTTGGCTAGCGTTGACTTGAAGGTTGCGAGAAAATCCCTTAACGGCTCGTTAGGTTGCTGAGATAGTGACCATAGGTCGGCGTCAGATGTTCCACGATCGATGAGCACTGAGTACTGCTTGAGAAAATGTGTTGACAACACGTCGAAACTGTCGACCGAGTTTTGCTCCAATCTAGAGAACCAATCCAGCGTGGGTCCTTTGAGATGCTCAATGAATAACAAACACAGGCCTGTATCCTTTTCTCCCGGTTTGAATTTGGCTCGGGCCACAGATATCATGAATAACTTAATGTGCCCCTTTGGGTCGGTCGTTCCGTTGAGCAGTCGATTTTGAGCTTTCCCGGATCGGAGATTGTTGCTTCTGAAATTCTTTTGGTGAAAGGGGTATTGCAAGATTCTTCCAAGATTCGGTCGATATTCGGTGCCGAGAAGGACACGCTGTACATCTGGGTTTTGACGAGCTTCATATCGGCTTTGGCTCGGGCTAGAGAGGCTTTGATTTCCTCGAGCTCGCGCTCTCTTTCGGACTCTTCGACCCATCTTACGTTCTCCTCGTTTTCCTCATCATCGGTGATGTCAATCTGATCGGAAAAGTTCACTCCAGTTCGGGGGCGCTCAGCCTGCGGATCATCCGGCTCGTTCGTTTGGTCTGCCGCGTTCGGCTCGGTGGGACCATCCTGATTTTCGCGTCGGGTAGAGTCAGCTCAGGCCGTAGCTTTGGGGTTATCGGTCGGCGTCGCGAACACGAGTCTCGTCGGGTTAATACCGGGTAAATCTCTTCTGGCTCGCAGGGGCCAAGTTTTAAAACGGGTGGTCCGAGGTTGTACGTGGGAGGTGACCGCTTCGATCTGTTGCGCCATAGTTTTGTTGACTTTCTCTTGATCGTTAGCCTTTTTCTTGAGATGAATCATCATGTCCCTTAACTCAGTCAGGGTTGCTGAGATTGCTGGTTCGGTTTGAGGGTCTCGAGGGTTTGGAGGAATCAGGTTACCTACGACTGGTGGAATCAAGGGATCTTCTGCAGTCATCGTCTTCTTTGGGGATCTTACTTTATTTTAAACTGTTAGCCTTTATTTTTTTATCCATCTATTTTAATTAATGTATCTTTCCTCTAACAGTCCCGAGTGATTCGCGCTAGTAAGCTAAGTGTTCAGGAGATTGATCCCCATCAATATGAAGTGAGGAGTGGAGTGTCTATGAATGTTGTTAATTTAAAACAGAAGAAGTGTACATGTCGTATGTTTGACCTCGACAAACTACCTTGCATACATGTAATAGCCGCAGCTGAGTCGACTCATGTATCAAGGATTTCAAAGTCCCATCCTTACTATCGCTCAAAATACTTACGCAATGGTTATTCAAAATCTGTAATGCCAAAGGATGAGGCGTGTTCTGTACCTGATTCAGTAACCGGGAAGTCTGTCAATCAACCTTTTGTTAAGGTTAAATCTGGGAGGCCTAAGATGTCACGGATTAAAGGTCATTTAGAGGTTGCATCACCGCGCAAAGTACCAAGGAAAGCATATGCTTGTTCTAACTGTGGAAATGTTGGCCACAATCGGCTGTCTTGCAAAGCTTAATACATTTGATGATTTGAACATATCTCTACTGTTAGTGTTGGACCAATTTGTAAGAATACATTTGTTTTCTCTGTGTTGTTGTTTTCAGTTAAGCAACCCTTAATATAAAAAACAGAGTTGTTACAAAAAACAGAGAACTACAACATCATTGGGAATGCAATTGGTCTTAACACATTTCAGGAAAAAAGTCTTACTCTCCAAAAAAAGAAGCTTACACAAACCCATTAATTCCTCAATCACAACAAAGTCTCCGCTAGATGAGCGACTAACTCCTTCAGTTTTTGGATCTCTTTACCATTACCTTTCAACTCCGAACGCATTTCTTGTTGATAGTACTCCAAGCTTTGAATCTTTTTGTGATGGGTATCAACTGTGGAAGTCGAAACTAACACAATCGAGATTTGTCTAGGGTTTTTATTTTAGGGATACAATGAACGAGAATTCTTAAAGAACAACAGAACGGACTGGAACCAAAGATGGTGTTCTTGATATTATTAATCAATGAATAACTTTGATCGTACAAGAGTTTGATCGTAAAAGTAAAAGTGTTTTTGCTTGAGAGCTTTGTGTAGTCTAAAATCTAGAGCGATATTGCTTGTCCTTCTGTGAGAACCTTGAGTCTCTTTATATAGGGATGGTAAACCGCCTCTCCCGCGATATTCTTGGAAGATTTCCAATTATCTTGAAGTCGGCCTAGAATATCGCGGATTAGGATACTTTCCTTATTCTTCGGAGCTTTTCGGAAGTTTTCCTGATTTGAGTCGATCCTTCGAGATTCTCCTTTATCATTTCCGAGTATTTCGAAAATGATCCTTCTCTTCCAGAAATGATGCCTTGCTTAGAAATGATACTCTGAGGGTGAATATTTGCTAAGTCCTTGCCTCGGGTAACTTGGTGTACTTGGTTCAAGTGGCCTAAAGACTGCCTCGGGTGATTGACGACTTCGCCTCGGGTAGCAAGGAAGCCGCCTTGCGAGGACAGGCTCGGGTACCCAGAGAGGACGGGCTCGGGTACCCAGAGAAGAGTGGGCTCGGGTACCCAGAGAAGAGTGGGCTCGGGTACCCGAGCTGTCTGGCAGAGTACCCCTAGCTGTCTGGCGGAGTACCCCGAGCTGTCTGGCGGGGTACCCCGAGCTGTATGACGGAGTACCCCGAGCTGTCTGGCGGGGTACCCCGAGCTGTCTGGCAGGGTACCCCGAGCTGATTAACAGGTTCTCAGGGTGTTTGAAGTTTGGCTCGGTCTCAGAAGGTGGATGGAATCCGACCCCAACATCAACCTCCTCCCTTAAGTTAGTCACCTCTTCTACCATAGCTTTATCCCAAAATTCCCGAATGTGTAACCCATCATTCTACAAAACAAGAATTCTATATGATATATCACAGATTTTACCGGTTTTAACCGTGATTTACCTGTCGGTTTTAGAGTCTTTTTGTTGTTTCTAGTGTCTTTTTGAGTCTTTTCAGGTTTTTACACGTTCGGGACAAAATTGGAGAAAAGAAATCATTCTGGAGCTAAACCGAAGATTTGGAGCCGAGGAGACGAATCCGGTTCGAAACAAGGCATGAGTGTCTCGGCCCAGCGGCCCAGCAAGAAGTCTCGACGGTTTTAAAGTTTTAAAGCCCGCAGAATTTACCATGAAGACTTCCCTATTTGCAACTTTAGTCCCTACACGTTTTTGGAGACTTTATAAATAGTTTTTAGGGTTTTTCTGTTTCTAGACCCTGCAATGTTTTTTTGGCTTTTGTAATTCTCTGAGCTTGAACCCTTTGGAATATAATTTGAGAGAGCTACTTTCAGAGATTTTAATACCCTGTTAGAGAGAAGATTTATTCTAAACCCTTTTCTTCTTTTGATTTCTTATTCTGCAATTTATTCAACATGTTTTCTGTTTCATTAATCATGTCTGAGTAATCTCCATGTTAGGTTTAGGGATTCTCATTAGGGATTTAGATGAACTAGTAAATCGATTTCCTGTTAGGATTTATCCATAGAGTTCTTTATCTAGGTTGTTCTTAATGCTAGTTCTAGAGTAGCTAACTAGAACTTGATCATAGGATAATAGGTATTTGATCCGAGAGGGCACCTGTTACTGGAACTACCTTAGATGAGCAAATATTTCTAGATGCATCGAGAGTTGGTCTAGGAGAATTTGTGAACATATCAAACTTGAGTTTAATGCTAGTCTAGATCTAGGAATTCGCATCGAGAGGTGGAATTACTGATATTAGATTTGTTAGTTAGCGCATCGAGAGGTGGTTAGCTATTCATTAGTGTTTTGAGTTCTAGAACGGTTCGTTAAATAATCCTAATTAATTTGTTAGATTTACTATTAGTTTATTTCCTGAGAATTTCCTTAAACCTGACGTTTTAATCTATTGGCCTTTTCGCCTGATAATATTGCTTGCTACGGTTTTATTTTAATTCTAATTATTTCATTTAGCATAATTTTGAGACTTATAACTTATTGTGTGAACAAAGAACTTTGTGGAATTCGACCCTTAAGTGCTGCAATTGATCTCTTATTTGAGAGAGTAGGCTTTAGGATTCAATTTGACATGTACCAAATTTGGCGCCGTTGCCGAAGTTCTTGGGAATCACCATTAAGTTTGGTTTATAAATTTTGTCTAAATTTTTTTTTTCTTTTGATACTTACGCGTTTCTCTCTTTTCTTTTTCTTATGTTTCAGGTGCATGCCTAATCGCATAACTCGGAGCAGTAAAGAAAAGACTCTCGTCAATTTGTCTACACGCAAATTTGGCCAGTTAGAACGCAACAACCGCAAAGCTCGAAAATCATCAACTATGGTTCGTGGAGAAATCAGAGCTGATGAAGAAGGGTTTTTGAGAGATGATGATGGACAAGCCTACAATGAGGCTCGACAGAGACTGGACGATCAGGGGATTGTCATGACTGAGGATCTGGTTGTGGATGATTCAAACATCCGGAATCCTGCTGCTCCACCAAACGCAGTAGCAGCTCACGTCGATGGTGTCGAACGACACCACCAGTGTGTCGCTCGACACCAACTCCCAGCGGACGTGCAGATCCGAGCAGGCCAGCAGGGCCGCCAACAACTGCCTGCCGCGGTGGACCGTCCAATGACTCTTGGGGATTACAACAGGCCAGACCTGTTCTATGCTAATCGATCAGCGATCGTACCTCCCCCATTTCAGAGAAATGACTTCGAGTTGAAAACCGCATACTTCACTCTTGTGGGTCAACATCCTTTCCATGGCTTCTCTAATGAACAGCCAATGGACCATATCGAGCGATTTGAGGACTTGGTATCTAGCATTAAGGCAAATGGAGTTTCAGATGACTACCTTCTCTGCAAGCTCTTCCCATACTCACTTGCTGGGGAAGCCGCTTCTTGGCTAAAGCAGTTGAAGCCAGGATCTTTGACTAAGTGGCAGAGTATGAAGGTCGCCTTTTTCAACAACTTCTATGATGATGGTAAGTCTGAGGAGCTGCGCAACAAGTTGTCTACGTTCACTCAAGGACCAGCAAAAGCATTCAAAGCTGCTTGGGTTCGATTCAAGGAGTACCAACAAGATTGCCCTCATCACGGTTTCAGTGAAGTTCAGCTTCTCGGTACATTCTTCAGAGGAATAGATTGGAGATACCAGATGGCTCTTGATGCTGCGAGCAATGGTAACTTCAAGACCATGTACCCGTTGATGCTGTAGCTCTAATTGAGAATCACGCCTATAGCAACAGCACGAAGAACGCGGACTTCGAGAGGAAGAAGATTGCAGGCGCGATTACTGGTAATGAATTTACATAGGTTAATGCCAAGTTGGATTCAGTCCACAACGTCCTCACAGGAAAGAAAGCTGTACATTTTGCTGTAGAGGTTGAGAACATTGAGACAGAGGAAGAGTCTGAAGAAGGCGTGTTCTACATTGATGGACAAGGTTACAGGAAGTTCGGGCCTCATCAAGGCAACTTAAGGTATAAGAACTAGAACCGCAATCGGATCCCAAAAGCTAAAGTAGTGTTTTTCCGTTTAGAAGCTCCAAAACCGAAAACTCATAGGACTTCAGCCACACCCACAAAGATTTGAGAAGCAATAAAAAGCTTGGTTAGTATTTTTGGAGTCAAATATGACTAGATCTCGTGTTTATGATTGGGTTTAAGAATTAGAAACGCAACCGGATCCCAAAAGCTAAAGTAGTGTTTTTCCGTTTCGAAGCTCCAAAACCGAAAACTCATAGGATATTAGCCACACTGATATGTCTATAATTTGCATGATTTAGGCATTCGTTCTTCATCACTTTTACATTTCACCCACATTTCATCTCATTAGTAATCGTTTTAGTGTGTTTTGCATACTTAGGACGATTTTGCATTAGAATGCATGTGCATTGCATATGGGGATTGTTTTCAGGTGCTTTGGATGCTTTTGGTGCTCAAACAGAGGAGAAACAGAGCCGAAAGTCAGTATGCTCAATCGCACCTTCAGCAGACCACTTGATCACAACCCCAGAGCCATTTCAGAAGAAGCACTCGGATCACAACCCCGGAGATGCCAGCAGCTCGGTTTCACTCGATCACCACTCTATCGCAGAGCCAGAGATATCATCAGCAGACCACTCTATCGCAGAGCCGGAGATATCACCACTCAATCGCAAGGTCCTGATGTGAAAACCACTATCTAGTTTCCTTATTTGTTTTGTTTCGTTTTTATAAATAGCCTCTAAGGATTTGCCCTAAGGCATCACTTTTTCTAAGCACCGAATAATCACTTGTTTTTACCCTAAACTTTAGCAGCCGTAGTTTGCTCATGCGACTTTGTATTTGTTTCAAAGTTATTTAGATTTTGTTTACGTTTCCATTTCGTTTATCTTTTAATCTTTTTTTCATGATGTTTTCATTCGTTTATCCGTTTTTGTCTTTGATGTTGTCTGAGTAGTGACTAGTGTTTCTGAGGATGGGATAGAGTGGTCGTGTTTGCCTTCGTCGTTTTAGATGGTTGAGATTAGATTGTTTAAATCCCTTCTGGATTATTTGCGCTTATTGCTTGTTCTTTTCTGATCAACTGGAATATAAATCCAGACATTCCCGCACCCAGAAGGTGTTTGATGGAATGTCTGATCCACTAATTCCAGAGATACTCGTCTTTATCCCAAGGTATTGGCCGTTTAGAGCGAGTATTGGCTTTAACAAGTTTAGTTGTTATTGCCTGCTTTGTTAGATGTCGCTAATGGTGATTAGGTCTAAGTCTAGCTCTGCTTGAGGATTTCTATCACGGTAGTGAATTGATTCGCTTTTGAACTTGATGTCTAGAGATAGCTTCTTTGATGTTTTGTCAACCGTCTAAACAGATTACGGAGACCACGCTATTTGATTACCCCATCCTTAGGAATTTCTTATCCATTTGATTACCTGTTATCTTGCCTGCTTAGTTATTCGTGTGCTTGCTATTGCTATTTCACGTTTTAGTTTCATTTCGTTTCTTTCTATTTGCATTAGGATTATTAGAAAACAACAACTCTTTGATTGGCTTGACTTAGTGAACTCTGATCATATCTCATCTGTTTGCATCACACTAGATTGGATTGATACCTATAGTACTACAACGACATGATAGTGCTTTATGATAATTGACACTGAAAAATCTATTATCAATTTGGCGCCGTTGCGAGTTTAGTGTTTGTTTGCTATATTTGAGATCATTAGAATCGTTAAGATCAAGTTCATTTTTTGTTACACAACCTACTGACATTGTGCTTTTCTGTCTGTGTTTCAGGTACCCACAACAAACAGCTTTACAGACTCATCTTTGATTGGTCTACTAAAGCCTTGCTGTTATCTGTTTTATGCATACACGGTCACAAGGAAATCAGAACCTCCTTTTCAACGATAACCTCGACAGTATTGCTCGCCAACTAAGAGAACAGACAACAACAGACACAATGGCTGACATTGTAGATGACCAAGTGCAACCCAACAACATTGGTGCTAGTGACTTCCCACACAATCACAACCAGCGTCATGGAATTGTTCCTCCACCAGTCCAAAACAACAACTTTGAGATCAATAGCGGTCTCATTGCAATGGTTTAGGGGAACAAGTTTCACGGCTTGCCAATGGAGGATCCGCTTGATCATCTTGACGAGTTTGAAAGGCTCTGTGGCCTCACTAAAATCAATGGAGTAAGTGAAGATGGTGTCAAGCTTCGCTTGTTTCCATTCTCACTTGGAGACAAAGCCCATCTGTGGAAAAAGACGCTACCCCAGGGATCAATCACAACCTGGGATGACTGCAAAAAAAACCTTATTGGCTAAAACTCCAGAACAGGAAGACTCCGGAATAAGATACCCGGATTCACTCAGAAGAATGCTAAAACCTTCTGTGAAGCATGGAAGCGCTTCAAGGGATATCAGACGCAATGTCCTCACCATGGTTTCTCCAAGGCCTCCCTCCTAAGTACTCTCTATAGAGGCGTTCTCCCTTAGATTACTACAAGAAAACAGGCGATTACCGACTATGATCGGCGACTAATTGTGTAGTCGCTAAATTATACGACTAAAATGCGACTATTCTACGACTCATGTTACGACTACAATTATATAGTCGTCGTATAGTCGCTAATTAACGACTACATACTGTAGTCATTCTTATAGTCGTAAAATAGCGACTATTATACGACTAACATATAAAACCCCGACTATAGTCGTATCTTAGTCGCTAAATTGGCGACTATATTGAATGACTAATGACTGTAGTCGCTAAAAAGGCGACTATTTAGCGACAGATTCGGCGTGTTGCATAATAGTCGTTAAGAAGTCAGGAAATAGTCGTTAAATACCGGTAAAAAACATGTTTTTTCATTATGAGGTAGGTGGGGTTGGTGTACCGGTTTTTTGGCGAGTAAAAGTAATAGTCGTATTTTAGTCGCTGTTTAGTCACCAAATTTGTCTATATAACAAAATTCACCCTCTCTTCTCTTCATTACATTAAATACATAATCAACACTTAAAAGAAAAAAAAAACAGAGCGTTTATAAGAAAAAAAAACGTTTATAGTTATTTATTCTTAGGAATGGCGGGAAATTACAAGTATGGCGGTAATGACGGCGGTAATTATCGAGACGTGGATGTACAAGAGGTTCGATGAAGCAACGGGAAATTTTTCAAAAGAATTTGAAGCGGGTGTGGAGGAATTCTTGACGTTTGCAAATAGCCAGCCTATAGTCCAGAGTAATCGCGGTAAATTTCACTGTACTTGTAGTGTTTGCAAGAACAATAAACATATCTCGGGTAGAAGAGTTATGAGTCATCTGTTTAGTCATGGATTTATGCTAGATTATTATGTTTGGTATAAACATGGAGAGGAACTCAATATGGATATAGGACCAAGTTACATTGATAGGACGTATGTAAGTGAGAATTATGAAGTAGGGGGTAATGTAGCAGAAGATCCATATGTGGATATGGTGAATGATGCATTTCGTTATAATGTGGGGGTTGATGATAACTATTATGAGGATGTTAGTTATCAGATGTGGAAGAACCGGTACTAAACCATTCGAAGAAATTCTACGACTTGTTAGAAGGTGCAAAAAATCCATTATACGATGGTTGTCGTGAAGGCTAGTCGCAGTTATCGTTAGCTGCTCGAGTCATGCAAAACAAAGCGGATCATAATATGAGTGAAAAATGTGTGGATTCGGTTTGCCAAATGTTGACTGATTTTTTACCAGAAGGAAACCAGGCAACCGGTTCGCATTACCATACCGAGAAATTGATGCGCAATTTAGGTCTTCCTTATCATACAATTGATGTTTGTATGAACAATTGTATGCTTTTCTGGAAAGAAAATGAAAAGGAAGATCAATGTCGGTTTTGTGGTGCACAAAGATGGAAGCCTAAGGATGACCGTCGAAGAACCAAAGTACCATATAGTCGTATGTGGTATCTACCTATTGGTGACCGATTGAAGAGAATGTATCAGAGCCACAAAACAGCTGCGGCAATGCGATGGCATGCAGAGCATCAATCAAAGGAGGGAGAAATGAATCATCCTTCTGATGCGGCCGAGTGGAAATATTTCCAAGAGCAACATCCCCGGTTTACCGAAAAACCTCGTAACGTTTATCTTGGATTATGTACAGATGGGTTCAATCCATTTGGCATGTCTCGTAATCATTCGTTGTGGCCAGTGATCCTAACTCCATACAATTTACCCCCTGGTATGTGCATGAATACAGAGTATTTATTTTTTACAATTCTGAATTCAGGGCCTAATCATCCGCGAGCTAGTCTCGATATCTTCCTCCAACCGCTTATTGAGGAGTTAAAAGAGTTGTGGTCTACTGGGATCGATGCATACGATGTATCTTTGAATCAAAATTTTAATCTGAAGGCAGTGCTGATGTGGACGATAAGCGACTTTCCTGCATATAGCATGTTATCAGGATGGACCACCCATGGAAAATTATCTTGTCCAATTTGTATGGAGGATACAAAGTCTTTTTATCTACCTAAGGGAAGGAAGACGTGTTGGTTTGATTGTCACCGAAGATTTCTTCCTCACGGTCATCCATTAAGGAAGAACAAAAAAGACTTCCTAAGAGGAAGAGACGCATCTAAAGAGTATCCACCGCAATCTTTGACCGGTGAACAAGTTTATTACGAGAAGTTGAATGGTGTAAATCCACCATGTACCAAGGACGTCGGTGGAAACGGTCACGAAAAGAAGATGCCTGGTTATGGGAAGCAACATAACTGGCACAAGGAAAGCATACTATGGGAGCTGCCGTATTGGAGGGACCTCAATCTTCGTCATAATATTGATGTGATGCACACAGAGAAGAATTTTTTGGACAATATTATGAATACTCTTATGAATGTGAAGGGTAAATCAAAAGACAACATCATGTCAAGATTGGATATAGAACAATTTTGTTCTCGGCCACAGTTACATATTGATAGTCGGGGTAAAGCTCCTTTTCCAGCTTACACATTGACAGCAGCTGCCAAAACAAGTTTATTGGAATGTGTGAAACATGCGGTTAAATTTCCAGATGGTTATTCGTCAGACTTGGCTAGTTGTGTTGATATGGAGAATGGCAAGTTTTCAGGCATGAAGAGTCATGATTGCCATGTTTTTATGGAGCGACTACTTCCATTTATCTTTGCAGAACTCCTAGACCGGAACGTCCACATTGCGTTATCAGGTACTAATAATCACACATTCCATATAGTATTCATTCTACTTATCTTTAAACATGTTTTGATGATACACTTAACCTCTTAACTGTATGTATAGGGATTGGAGCATTTTTCCGGGACTTATGTTCGAGGACTTTGCAGAGTAGTCGCGTTCAGATTTTAAAGCAGAATATTGTCCTAATCATATGCAACTTGGAGAAGATATTTCCACCATCATTTTTTGATGTGATGGAGCACCTGCCTATACATCTCCCGTACGAAGCTGAATTGGGTGGACCTGTCCAATATAGGTGGATGTATCCTTTTGAGAGGTTTTTCAAAAAGTTGAAAGGAAAAGCAAAGAACAAAAGATATGCGGCAGGATCAATTGTTGAATCATATATAAATGACGAGATTGCTTATTTCTCAGAGCACTACTTTGCCGATCATATACAAACAAAATCAAGGTAATTTAATGCATTGATCACTATTTTTGATGTGAATTACTTTTAATTAACTCATTTGGATCAGGTTAACAAGATTTGATGAAGGCGAAGTACCTGTATATCATGTCCCTGGAGTACCTACTATTTTTACTCACATCGGGAGGCCAAGTGGGGAAATGCATGAAGAATGGCTTTCCGAAAAAGACTATCAATGCGCACATGCATATGTTTTACGAAATTGTGACTATTTTCAACCAATTGAGAGGTATATAAGTTGATATCTCTCCTAAAATCACTCTTTAATTTGTAATATACATGATAATTTCTAATATATTTGTTTCTGTTTTGCATAGTATGTTCGAGGATTTTTTATCTACAAAATATCCAGATTTGACCGAAAAAGAACTCTCCACGAAAAGAGCTGAAGAATATCATTTATGGGTGAAAGACTATGTATGTCATTAAATAACTTCTACATGCATGGATTTCAACTTTTGTATTGATGTTGGTTTATATTTATATGCAGGTTACATATTGGAACTCGACGAATCCATTTCCTACTTGGGTTCAAGAGATAGTCCATGGACCTTTGAACAAGGTCAAAACTTGGCCAATGTACTTTACAAGAGGTTATTTGTTTCATACGCAGAAGCACGGAGCTGGACGAAAGACATGTAATTATGGTGTGTGTGTTAAAGGTGAAAATTACACGGATGCATCAGATGAGGCAGATTTCTATGGAACCTTAACGGATATTATTGAACTCCAGTATGAAGGCATGGTCAATTTGAGGATCACTCTTTTTAAGTGTAACTGGTATGACCCTAAAATCGGTCGAGGTACTCGGAGGAGAAATGGTGGCGTAGTAGACGTTCTATCATCGAGAAAATACAATAAATACGAGCCATTTATTCTAGGTATGTACTTATGTATACCAACCATTTATTCTTGATATCATATATATATATATATATATATATATATATCTATAAATCTCATGCAAATTTTTATGTCTACAGCCTCTCAAGCAGATCAAGTTTGTTATATTCCATATCCATATACAAAGAAACCGAAGCAAATTTGGCTCAATGTTCTAAAAGTGAATCCAAGAGGAAACATTTCAGGAGAATATGTAACCAATGATCCGACTCTTTTGCAAACAGAAAATGATGATGCTGTTTTGATGACTACAATTGAAGATCTTGTACTAGACAATCCGGTACAGAGATCAAACCCAATAGTCCTCGATTACGATGTCTGCGATGCTGAACCAGAAGATGAATTCCGATGCAATTTATCGTCTTCTGATGAGGAAGAACCAGAATCCGATGAACCTTACTAAATATTTTCTATATGTTAGTACTTGTGTTTTTTTTTGTATGATATTAATTATGTTATATGTTAAGGTTATCTACTTATGTTTATTATGTTTTAAATAAAAATGCAACATTTTACCGTCTTTTAAACGACTATATATCACATTATGCGACTAATTTACGTCTAAATATCGACTAAAATAAATGAAATGAGCCAATTACTCGGTCCAAGCCCAATAACACACAACCCAGAATATATATTAACTTATGCGACTAATTGACGTCTAAATAGCGACTAAAATCAATTTAATGGGCCAATTTACTCGGTCCAAGCCCATCAGTAGACGGAACCGCTTCTCACAAAAACGACACAACCCTAATTTTCCTCATTTCGCCTCTTTCGATCTTCTCCTTCTTCCCCAATTCTCTCTGAAAACCCTAATTTTTCTTTTTCTATTCGATCGATTTCTTCCCCAATCGATCGATTTACTTCGATCTTCTTCTTCTTCTTCCCCAGTTCTCACTGAAATCGATCGATTTACTTCCATCTTCTTCCCCAGTTCTCTCAGATCTCTCAGATGGCTGGCCGAGGAAGAAGGAGAAGAAACGTGCCTAACGTTTCTCAGAGAGTCGTAGGGACGACGCCTGGTCTACGACCTAATAGTCTACCCAGTCAGTACAACTTCACTCCGGCGGTCCAAGTGCCTCCGACGCAGTCTCCTCAAGTACCACCTGCTAATTTACAAGCTCAGGCAACGACAGTCCGGGACTATCCACCGCCTCAGCAACTATTCCAGAACTCTGGAACTCAACCACGTGGAGTTGATGCGACTCACTCAGAAGAAGTGGAGAACAACCCACAGCCTCAAGCGACTCCTCAGCAAGAGGCTCCAACCCCACCAATTGTTCAGGATTCTCCGGCTCATAGTGAGGCTCATCCCTACACGACTTCCTCGCAAGGCAACAACTTCCAGGACGAGATTCCTCACGAGTTGCCAGAGCTGCAGGAGGACTCGCTGCGGGCATTGAATGTGTTGCTTAGTGTGCCTGGTAGGGAACAGTGGACCACCGTGCTCTGTCCCGATCCCGTGCCAAACACATCATGGTATGATTCTTGCTTACTTCTTATTCTGCCTTTATTTTATGGTTTATGGAGTTGTTGTTTCTTGTTCTATGATGGCTAATTTACTTGACTTATTCGTCAGACCTGTTGCATAGTTAAATTTTGTGTGGACTAGTTGTTTCTTTTTCTCTGATGGGTAATAATCTTGAATAATGTCGACTTGTTGCAGAGTTGTGTGTACTTGTTGTATCTTGTTCTTTGGTGGGTGATGAACTTGAAATATATGGACTTGTTGTATCCTTGTTTATTTTTTAAGTTTCATATACTATATTAACCTCTTTTCTTCTTTGATTGTTTCATATTTATGGAGGTTTACTCGTGACCATGGGAATGCACTAGTTCGGAAGATTACTAAAGTTTGGACTGGCAAATTTGATGCTCCCTACTATAGCTTTACTTTGGTGCCTGTGGACAGAAGAGAGAGATACTTTCTCGAATTCGCGGTACTGTTTTCTTTCTCTGTCTTTATCCTTCTAATATAGAGTACTTTTCTTGTTTTTAATATCACTTACAATTCTTTTTTTTTTGTAGAAAACACACCATTGGGATCCCTTGATAACAGGCACCGTGCAATATTTTTTTGAGGATATATGTCAGCGCCGGATGAAAGATATGGTTAGCGGAGCGAGGACAAGTCGAGAGCGACCTCTATGGATTGGTGACACTCTCTGGGAAACAATGTGCACCTACTGGGACACTGAAGAAGCGAAGAAGAGGAGTGAAACATATTCAAAAGTTCGCAAGTCTGACCGTGGCGGACTTGGTCCTCACGTTCATTTCTCAGGCCCTAAGTCGTTTCAACAAATCAAAGATGAAATGGTCAGTGACTTCATATATCTGTTATTTATTTATCTTTTCATTATGACTGGTTAACACATGTTATTTGGTTACAATGCAGGAAGAGCAACTGGGAAGAGCGGTCAGTCTTGGTGAGGTTTTCATCAAGACCCATACTAGGCCAGATGGTACGTATGTTGATCGGAAGGCAGGAGAAAATAGCAACAACATACCAGCAGAATTTGGAACTGAGGTTGTCTCAGCTAGAGGCAGATGCTTCGAGTGTTTCAGATGGCGAGTCACGTCCCCGGGAGCTCACAGCAGAGGACTGCACCACCATCTTTCTGCAGGTTAAGTTTCAATTTTCCAAATTACATTTATATAATCTGGAGTTCAATTCTCAGTCTCTAATCCCAGCTGTTCTCTTACTTTTTTACAGTCCACTGAGGTAGATTCTAAAGGAATTCCGTATGGAATTGGAAGCCTCAAAGAGACTCTTGGCAAGCGCAAGCGCTATGGACAGTCTTCATCTTCATCTACATCCTTTCTGGATCTGCAAGAACAGCTGAAGGAAGCTCAACGCAAGATAGAAGAGCAGGCAGCATATAATGAAAAGAGAGATCTTGAGGAAGCTGCCCGTAAAGCTGAGCAAACCCGAGTGGCGGCTGAGCAAAAGGAGAAGCTCGCGCACTTGTCTTTGGTAGAGAAGTATCTGCGGCAAACCGATCCGCACTTCCTGGACTTCATGGCCACTCATTCAGCTCCTCAAGAAACCACAGACCCTCTCTCGCCTCTTCCTCAAAATGATCCATAGGTTTCTCCTTTTCATCTCTCTTTTATCATGAACAAAAACTTTATCACTCTCTCAGTTTTTGATAAGTGTCTTTGATTGTGAATGGTGTGTATGTGTACTTTGATAGTGAATGATGTACTTTTGTATGTGTTTTGGCTTTTATTTGATTTGGAGTTCTTTTTTTTATTTGGTTTTAGATTAATGTTGTTTGGGTTATGGAATCAAACTTAGAATTGAAACAAAATCGGAATCCAAACAATTTCAAAACAAAATTGGAAATGAAACAAAATCGGAATCCAAACAATTTCAAAACAAAATCAGAAATGCCAAATTCTTTTTCCGCCCACAACAATAGTCGCAAATTAGTCATAACCAAAGTCGTATATTAGTCATAATAGACGCAATATAGTCGCTTTTATCAATGACTAAGTAATGATTGTCATGCAATAGTGGCATTTGTAGTCGTAAATTAAACGCCATTTAGTCACTAAATATTAACGACTATGTTTACGACTGCACTAAACATACCTTGTATGAGTGTTGATTAATCGTAACATAGTCGCCAAATAGTCATCAAATGTTACGACTAATGAGTGACTAATATATGACTCATATATATTAGTCGTATTTTAGTCGTTACAAGGCGACTAATGTTACGACTATTGATTTTAGCGACTAAATATTTACGATTATGGGTTTTAGTCGTAACCTAGTCGTATTATCAGTTTTTACGACTAAGTAGTGACATTGTCGTAGTCGTAAAACGACTGTTTTCTTGTAGTATATGCTCCTTGATACAACATCTAATGGGAATTTCCTGAACAAAGACGTTGAAGAAGGATGGGAGCTGGTAGAGAACTTGGCTCAATCCGATGGCAACTATAATGAGGATTATGACAGAGCCATCAGAGGGAGTTCTGACTTTGAAGAGAAGCACCGAAGGGACATGAAGGCCATCAATGACAAACTAGACAAGCTCCTCCAAGTGCAACATACGCATGTTCACTTCGTCTCTGAAGATGAACCATTCCAATTTCAAAGTGGGGAGAATGATCAGTCTGCAGAAATCAGTTATGTTCAGAACCAAAGTAACTACAACAAGGGTTATAAAAAGTACCAACCAAACCCGAATCTGTCATACAGAAGCCCTAACGTCGCTAACCCTCAGGACCAAGTCTACCCTCCGCAGCAGCAGCAACATAGCAAACTCAAACCGTTTGTTCTATACAACCAGGGTCAGGGGTTTGTTCCCAAGCAGTAATTTCAGGGAGGATATCAACAACAACAACCACCACCTGGTTTCCCACCACAGCAGCATCAAGCACATGCACCTCAAGACTCAGACATGAAGACCATGCTCCGGCAGATTATACAAGGTCAAGCAACAAGAGCAATGGAGATTGCTAAGAAGATGGCTGAGTTAAACAACAACGTCGATTGCACCTTCAATGACCTAAACAACAAGTTCGAATCACTGAGCACTAGGATCAGATACATGGAAGGCCAGATTGCATCAAATTCTGCTCCCAAAGCCACAGGACTTCCAGGGAAGTCAACCCAGAACCCAAAGGAGTATGTCAATGCTATCACTTTGGGAAATGGTAAAGAACTATCCAACAGAGAAGGTCCTAAACAAACCACTAGGGACAGTGTGTATCAAGATGGGGAGGATTTCTGTCAGAATGAAGATTCAGCTGAAAAGGCAACAGAGGAACCTATACTCGATCCATCTACTCGATCACCAGCTCATGCAGCATCTCAATCTGTTGAAAAACCAGCTGCTACCAAAACTAAGGAAAACTTCTTTGTTCCCCCACCTTACAAGCCTCCACTCCCGTTTCCTGGTCGGTTTAAGAAGGTTCTAATACAAAAGTACAAGGCACTCTTAGATGAACAACTGAAAGATCTTGAAGACACAATGCCTCTAGTTGATTGTCTTGCTCTAATACCGGATTCCCACAAATACGTGAAGGATATGATCACAGAGAGAACCAGAGAAGTTCAAGGAAAGGTGGTGTTGAGTCATGAGTGCAGTGCAATCATCCAAACGAAGATTATTCCCAAGAAATTGGGAGATCCTGGTTCGTTTACCTTACCTTGCTCTCTAGGTCATTTAGCCTTCAATAAGTGCCTCTGTGATCTAGGTGCTTCTATAAGTCTCATGCCTGTCTCCGTGGCCAAGAGACTGGGTTTCAGCAAGTACAAATCTTGCAACATCTCTTTGATCCTGGCAGATAGGTCTGTTAGACTACCTCATGGGTTATTAAAAGATTTTCATATAAGGATTGGAAATGTTGAAGTGCCCACAGACTACATAGTGCTAGAAATGGATGAAGAACCAAAAGATCCTTTAATCTTAGAAAGGCCCTTCTTAGCTACAGCCGGAGCAGTGATAGATGTTAAGAAAGGGAAGATTGATCTTAATCTTGGAAAAGATTTTAAGATGAAGTTGGATATCAATGATGCTATGAAGAAGCCAACAATAGAAGGACATACCTTCTTGGTTAAGGCATGGATCGGCTAGCTGATAAACTGCTAGAAGAGCTTGTTGATGAAGATCACCTTCAAACAGCTTTGACCAAGAGTGGTGAAGTTGGGTATCTCCCAAGTGAGACCTTAAGCTCTGAGAATTCATTAAACTCATACAAGGCAACAACTGGATCAGACGTCATTGAGGCTTTGATTGCGTCAGAAAAAAATGGTATGGCAGCAAATGAGGCAAGCTCGACCTATACTCGACCTGCTGACTTGACCGTCTACTCGAGTAATCTTTTAACTAGCCCACAGAGCTCACGCTCGACAAAACTGCTTGATCAGAAGGTAGAGTCTCACAATTTTGCATCAGACGATTGGTTAAAACTCATGAAGAGGTCTAAATGGCAGGACAAAGCCATAAGGGAGTTAACAGACACTGTGAGAAATCTAAAAGATCAAATCAAAGTGCTCCATGGGAAAGCCAACCAAGGACCACTCCATATCAAGGACGTACCAAATGATGAAGCAATTGCTCTGGTTGGCGAAGAAAAAAATGAACTCACACTAGAATGGTCTATAGAAGAAGACTATCCAACTGATCAGAAAGAAGCTTACTTTGAAGAAACGGCCATTGAGTACTCAGTTGCAGACTTGTCAAGAGAGCATGTTGAGTTTGATGATCCATCTACTGAGCAAGAAGAGGAGACCTCATTTCATCTCCACAAACCTCCCTAAGCCTAATAAGTGTGAGGAGTCAAGCTAGAGACTTAAAACAAGCTCACTTGGGAGAAAGTCCCATGACTATCCTTGTATATAGATTTATTTTCTTGTTGTTTTTGATTTTTGTTGGTAGTGTTTTTTAATTCTCAGGAGGTGTAATTGTCAAGAGCAGCAACAGGAGAATTATGGTGAACACACTCGATCGCAACGTCGGGGTATCATTGATGTCTTGCGATCGAGTGCTTTGATTCAGGGAAGGCTACGGTTCAAAATTTTTATTGATCATACTCGATCACGAGATAAACGAAGCAACGGACGAGTAATGTCAAGGAGGAGATCGCATGAACGCCGTGCTCCACAACCTGCTGGGGTTGCAATCGAGCACGATGATGAGGAGATGGCGGAATCGCACCTAGGACCTGTCATGCCCACAGATTATACTCAAGAGGAGATGGATGACTACATCTCCAGGCAATTCTACTGAGGTAACACACCAAAACACAATTGTAAATACCGCTTTTGTTTTTGTTTCTTGTGTTTCTCTTGAATGCTTTCTCAAATTTTTATTACACAAGGGACTGTGTAATTTAAGTTTGGAGGAGGGTTCAAGATGTATTTAACATGTTTGCTGTGTATACAATTTGCATCATTTGAGTTTGCATATCATATAAGACATAGAAAAAACCAAAAAAATTTTTGAAAATTTCTGAAAATGTATTCAACAAAAACAGAGTGTTCATGTAGTTGCATTACATTTAGGATCGAGTCTAGGATGTTTCCTATAGGATTGTTGTATATGCATAGGGGATTATGATGAGATAGCCTTGTAAGCATGTTGGTTCACTAGATAGACTCTATGCCCTCGTTGCTAGTTGTCTGATGCGTAGTCAATGAAATTGAAGTAAAACTGCACCATGTCTAGAATGCTCTACTCGATCACACAATCATGATTTGATACCATTCTCTATCAATTTGAACATGAATCTGATTTACAATTATCATGTCTTAGCATCAAATTTGAACTCATGGATACCCAAGTAGCTGCTTCCACCATAGGAGCAGTTTCCCTAGCCCTTAACTAAACTTTTCTTTTAAGCCCTGTTATATCTTGTGTGTAATTGTGAGGCCTGTTTCAGGATTGAGCTTGGTAGAAAGTGTTAGGTTTGAGCCGACAAGAGTAGTGTCTCTTGTAATTCTAGTCCATGTTTTTTGGACTATATAGGACTAGGTGGGAGTCTATTTTTGGGTGGGGATCCAGTATATGAGAAAAAGAAGAAAAAGGTTGATGTTTTTAGGAGAAGAAAGTTGAGAAACAAGTTAGTCTAGAAAAAGAAGAAAGGTTGATGTTTATGATTGGGCATAAGAACTAGAACCGCAACCGGATCCCAAAAGCTAAAGTAGTGTTTTTCCGTTTAGAAGCTCCAAAACCAAAAACTCATAGGACTTCGGCCACACCCACAAAGATTTGAGAAGCAATAAGAAGCTTGGTTAGTGTTTTTGGAGTCAAATATGACTAGATCTCATGTTTATGATTGGGTATAAGAACTAGAACCGCAACCGGATCCCAAAAGCTAAAGTAGTGTTTTTTCCGTTTAGAAGCTCCGAAACCGAAAACTCATAGGACTTCGGCTATACCCACAAAGATTTGAGAAGCAATAAGAAGCTTGGTTAGTGTTTTTAGAGTCAAATATGACTAGATCTCGTTTTTATAATTGGGTTTAAGAATTAGAAACGCAACCGGATCCCAAAAGCTAAAATAGTGTTTTTCCGTTTCGAAGCTCCAAAACCGAAAACTCATAGGACTTCGGCCACACCCACAAAGATTTGAGAAGAAATAAGAAGCTTGGTTAGTGTTTTTGAAGTCAAATATGACTAG